CTGTATGATCTGGTTGAACTGTAAAGTGCCTTGAGATGACATGTGTTGTGAATTTGGCGCTATATAAATAAACTGAATTGAATTGAATATATAATTAAAATTCTCAGTTATCAAAGTTAGTTAAAAAAAAGTATGGGGAAAATTGAAAAAGTATTTTTGTTCAGATACCTTTTCTTTTGTGTGGTTTATTTGTCCTTTATGCTAAGCTAAGCAGATAAAGACTAAAGAAATGCTCTTCCTTTTTTCTATCAAAAGATTTCAGTGTTGTTAATATATTTTATTTATTTTCAGCAGCACAAAAAAAAGAAAACATTTAAAGAGTGTTTTTACACATTCAGTGGATATAATATGGGGATAAAACCCATACACTGAGCTTAACAAAATAAATGATAGTGTTGCATTGATATAATTTAACATCAAAATAAAGTTAAAGCAACTTGAACAAAAACAAAACAAAAAAAGGCAATATTTTCAGTAATGCTACCTTTTAATTTTAAACCGGAGGAAAAGGGCAAAGGAGCTGACATTCCTATTTTTGTAATGAATGTAAGAATTATGAAGATTGATTAATTTTAATAAAATACTTTATCAGTCTTGTTTTTAGTTTTTCAACAACAAAAAAACATACTTTTTTAAATGTCGCACAAACCCGTCATTTAACTACAGATTAAGGGGAAAGAGGACAATACTAAGCAATGATAGACTCATAATCAGAAATTGATTAATGCATTGGTACAGCATTGCTTTGACATATCAATCTCCTTCAGTTCTGTTTTTATTTGATGGTTTCCAGATGAGTTAAGCTATATAATATATTGTTTAAGAAAAGTCAGCAAAAGCTGGTGGGCAGCATCAAGTCTTAGTGAGAACTAAAATAAAAGCCCATTAATGATGAGAAAGATGTGATCTGAGCCTTTCCCCCAGAACAACTTTATGGAACTAAAGAAGTGTAACCTCATCAAGTACGAATCTTACCTGTAAAACAGACAGGTTGTTACTTCAGTAAGAAGCGGATAAACACATCTGCATCTGTGCCTTTCTTATATGTTAATAATTTATCTGTTTCCTTCAAGAATTTTTATTCTGTCAGTCACGTTTCTCCTGTGTCACGGCACATTTAAGCACTGAATAGTTTGCATTACTTTACAGCTGTACATTAGGACAAGCAGATGCACTAAGGATGTCAGTGCTGCAGCTGTGCTGTTGGCTCTGCAGCAGGTTGGCGTTGTTGGCTCTGGATGTGGGAGATCTGCAGGACTGGCAGCAGCAGCTGAAATGCATTATGGATGTAGTTGGTGCTGTTGGTTCCCTGCAGACAGAAGAGACATCATTCTTTTTATACTTCATCGCGACCATCAATCAAAAAGCTCTCCAAATGCTGCAGAAAAATTCAGGCAAACTAGCAGTATGGTATAACTAACAATTATGGGACACCTTTATTATGCAAAATAAAAAAGGGGAAAAACTACCTAGATTCAGCCTCAAATAAGTCTACTTAAGTCTTGATTTAAAACTATATTCTTTACGATAGATTATATTGGGAGCAGTAAAATAAAAACCTTACTCAAGTTGCTCCTTTGCTTTCATGCACTGGATTACACAAATAGTATTCAGAATGAAGTTCATAATAGCACACATAGGAAACTGAACAGATCAGTACTGAAGTTAAAATTTTTGTCATGTCTGCAGATCAAGTTCAGATAAATAGAAATCTTTTTTTATCAGAATCATTTTACCAATAAACATGGCCCCATAGACACCAAAGCTCTTTACCTCCAGACCAGCAGAGCCATTCTAGGCTGTCAACTTCAATCAGACACCATCAGCCCAAGGCTGTGATGACTTTTGTTTTTTATTCCTTGTATTTCCATTAAAACTGCTGAAGAAAACAAATCTCACCTCCTGCAGGACACTGTCTACAAGTGGATTTAGCTCCTCTGCTTTCCTTTGGGCCTGAAAAAGAAACAGCAAAACAGATGGGATTACCCCAAGATCAATAAATCAATCAGTGCTCTTGCTCTCTCCAGGGTTTTTCCATCAGAGGTCTATATATGGGTGCCAAACACAACAAGAGACACAAGAATGAGGCAAAAAAACATCAAAGACCGATTTTATTATCATATTAAAATCATCCAACAAACATTTCCTGCCCAGAAGAACCTTTATACAGGATTTCCTCTGATGTGTGTTTTACTCTTGCTGCTGGGGAGCTGCAGTCCTTCATCAGGAGATCCTATACACAGAACGCACTAAACACTGATCGCTGCTCTTAACTAGTCTAACTTCCATATTTTTTATTTTTTTTGTAACAATCACTTTCAGAGCTGATTTTGTATAAATGGAAGATTCATTTTTAGCTTAATAATGCGCATTATCAGTTTTACATCTATCCTGTTGGAGTTCACACTTATCAACAAGTGCCAAATTAATAGCTTAGAGATTACTCAACAGGTCATTTCAATGTTGTTTAATAAAAAAAAGCTGAAAATGTGTAGCTTTTTTGTGCTTTTTTGCAAACTATGGACTCAAACTGCTTGGCGATAGACTGGCGACCTGTCCAGGGTTTACCCCAAACAGCTGAAGAGCTAGTCCAATCCATACCAGAAGCTTTAAAGAGATGGAGGAGAAGGAAAAGGTGGCCGTAACCGAAGCTTCTGTATCGACCTGTCCAGGGTTTACCCCAAACAGCTGAAGAGCTAGTCCAATCTATACCAGAAGCTTTAAAGAGATGGAGGAGAAGGAAAAGGTGGCCGTAACCGAAGCTTCTGTATCGACATTTAAACAAATGATGAAAGAACTTACCTTATGTTAAGCAAAATATGTAAGCATCCTTGGTAACAGAGGAAAATAAGCTAAAAATCCAAATCTAGCTGCCTGTTGAATTCAACAAACTATGTACAAGATGGAGGACACCATCTGATGATAGGGAGTTCCTAATCAGCACAGCCTAAAAATACTGATTTGACTTTAAAACCAAGATAAATGTAACAGTCTGTGATCTTCTGGTGCTGTCACACTGCAGGTAGAGCAGAGTGGGTACAGGCCTCCTCACCAAGCTTGTAAGAGATAATAATAATAATGATAACAGTCCAAACACAAATTTCAACCTACCCCGAGCAGAAGAAGTGAACCAGAGAACCTCTTGGTCAAACAGTCTACCTCCTTACACATGGCACATGTCAACCTGAGATAGAAAACAAAACAAAAACTACATTATGTATCATTATCTATCAAGCCAAACCATTTTAATATTCAATAGAATCCTTCGCCATAATTTTCCATCCTATGAAACTGTTCTAATTTTCCAATTAAAAAAAAAAAAATACATCCAAAGGCTTCCTCACTCAGCTGCACTGTGCTCATAGTGTAAAGCAAATGGAGCCAATAGGCTCATACTTGGTAAGGATTTGTGCTTGATCCCTGGCAGGTTTCTCCTGCTCCTGGCCATGAAGGATGAGCTCTGCCACCTTGTGGAGCTGTTCGATACTGCGAGCCGTCACTTCAGCCAGACTGCCCACTGATGACAGGTAGATGGCCTACAGAGAGGAAGGAAAATGATGCTGAATGAGCACATCCAACCAAATTATGCTATGGAAGAAGCTTCAAGATTAAAATCTTTCACCTCTACAGTTCGGAGGTCACCATCTTTTGCTTCTTCTCCCTCAACGCTCCTCTTGTCATCATGTCGCTCCTCCTCATTCGTTTTCTTCTCTTCCTCTGTGTTCTGGTCATCATCATTCTGATCTTCTCTGCTCTCTGCAGAAAATGCTTCTCCTCCTGGCTGCTCTACCTTGTTCACCCATTCATGGGCTCTCAAACGAGCCTGCAGATGCATAATTACCATGCATCAGCTCCACGTGCCGAGAAATCACTGTAGTGATGGATGCTAATGAGATGCATGGACATGATTCCACGCTAATGCCTGTCTATAGAAGGCAACATGAATTATGCAGAGGATCTTTGAAGGAGAATACTTTTTTTCCCTCCCATAATGCCTGCAGCAGGATGTCATCTGGGCTATAGGTGAGTGGCTTTGTGTATCTGATTTGGTTTGCAAACATCATTTGTCTGATTGGATTTTAAAGCTAATATTTGCCTGTTTGCAATAATCATTGTTTTTCCAGAGTATCTGTGTGAGGAAAGGATCAAACATTGGTTTCCCTGTGGAATAATGGACTCCTCTGTCCTCCTCAGACCGGGAGACAAAACGTTTTTACAAAGAATTTCTCCAGAAGACAACTTTTCTAGATTTTTTTTTTTTTTTTACCTGAATTATTTAGATGCATTTTGTTGTAATTGAATTTTTGAAATGTCCTTTTCTCTTTCAGGGTTTATACAGGAATGATTAACTAAAATTTTATGCTTTTTAATGCTGTTTTAATGCTCTTAGAAATCATTTTAATGCCACCAACAGGTACCCGTCGACAGACTGCAGCCATGTCCCAAATTCCTCGTTTTCCAACCACTTTTGTTGAAATTTTTGACAAAATTGTTTTTATAAACATTTTTTTTAATAAAGCATTTTAAATGCCACAATAAACACATTAAATTAATTTTAATGCCAATTAAGGCCTTAATTTAAACAATAATAATTTAAATTAATTTTAATGATTTTTAATGACCCGCGGAAACCCTGTCTTTACAATACATATTATAAAAATGTATTTTAAATAGTTCCAAGCCTAGAAAGGCCCATTTTGTCAAGCAATTAAACTGATTACCTGACCATCTTGGGCTGGAAGTTAATAGAGCTATAAAAATTATTGGACTGCATCTAAGCCATCTAATGTTTTTAGCTGAATAAATCAGTGAAAAAAAAACTTGTCTCCAAGGTTAGATAATACAGAGGTGGGCAAATCTTTATCAGCACAGACTAAGCGTCTGCATGGAGCAGACAATTTGCTGAATACTTAACACATTTTAATAAAATACAGCAGGCTGGCTAAAATGGAGTTTAAATGTTGTGTGCTGCAGTGTCAGGCAGGGTCATAAGGTCATTCTGCGTGGTTGCTTGATTAAAAAAAAATTACCTGTAGCTTTAAGGTGATAGTGGTATGCTTCATGCTATGCATTAGTTTTCAGTTTTGACTTTCACTTAAAATATTCAGCTTTATTTATGATTCTTTAAAGTCAAAAACATGTTTACACCTATTGGTGAGAGTGGATGGGCGTGCATGTTAGTGCGTCACCTTGTTGAGTTTGTCTGGCGTCGCAGCAACATGAAGTTCAAACAGCAGCTCAGTCAGAACACTAACAAACTCCTCCCCATCAGCAGCTGACAAAACAACACAATCAATTCAGCATGTTAAATTTAAACAGGTATATTGAAGGTGATCATGCAGCGGCCCACACTGAGGGTTTAAGGCTTTCATTTTTTTCATGCTGGGATCAAAACGAAGAGAATTCACCTAAGCTCTGATTCTTTTATGCATGCTGAATTCATCTCACCTTCTGTGCTAAAATTATATTAAGATCAGAAGATGCTCAGCACACATGCAGATTAAGAGTCTGGATCTGATTGCTGTCATCTTCCTTCAAGGTGGTAATGTCAATGTGTCGTCAGCCCCTGAACACCGACATTGGATCAGGCAGTCTGTGTCTAAACTGTGCACAGCTGTGACAGAGCCTCACACTTTTCAGACCTTTAAAACATGAAAGGATGGTGGGTTGGTGGTATATTTTAGGACCAAAAGCATTTTGAACTTTCAACATAATCAGTAAAAAAAGATTCCTGAAGGAAATTGGGCTTTTATAGCTCTTTGCAAGATGAATAATAATTTAATACTTGAGGGACGAATCATCTGCTTTCTAAGTTTTATTTTCTATAAAAAAAAAAAAATCAATAATAGACAGAAGTATTAAGACTTAAACAGATATATGTGATGTAACTGTGTGTTGTCTCACTAAAAATGATTTGGTTCTTACCAACATACAAAAAAACAAAGCATAAGTATTACATAATTTATCTTGTTTAAGACTAAATTTCATATAAGCCTAAATTTGTCAGGTGACATTATCTTGCTGCATGGACAGAGAACTGTACATGTTTTATATTGTGATAAAAGGTCATTTATGGCTTAGAAAGAAATGTTTTGAGTTTTAAATAATTACCGACAGCAGCAGGAGGCCATGCGCTGCTAACGGCTTGTAACCTGAAGCTTGGATTTGACTTTAGTGAAAAATTCAAACTGGAACACCTCAGAAATCAGAATAACAAGTCTCTAAGTCGGGTCAACAAGACTATACCGACTTCCTTACTCAAGGTGGCTGCAACTCATATTAACAGTGGTTAACTTTCCTATTTTAGCTGATTTTTATCATTTATGGGTCATTTCGTCGGTACGGATTATAAGAAAAGATGTTTCAGCATCTTTGCACAGCTGGTTAAGGAATGTACAAAATTTAAATAAATATACCGTTAGCAAGTTAGTCGTTTATTGAAGCTGCATATGTCTGAAGCAAAAACTGGAGCCAACATTTCTGTTAATTAATTCAGTGAGGGGGAAAAAAAATCAAATTTCCATTAAGAGATCATCTAATGGCGGCATAACCAGACAACCCCAAGACTTTAAGGTATGCTTTATTTTTCAGGTTAGTCGATCTGTTTTATGAGCTTTTAACCTGTATTCCTTGTCATTGAGGTTCCTTTCTCTGAGGCGCCCTCCAAAATCAGACAAAAATTAATGCCTTGTCAGTAATAAGCTTTTTTTCTTTCCTTTCAGCATGAGATTATGAGCCCTCTATAATATATTAACTTATTTTAACATCTTTACAACAAGTTTTTTAATTGTAATTATGAGGTGAGGCGACCATGGTTTGGGAATTATTGAAAATAAAGATGTGCAATTTAGAAAAAAAATGTAGATATTAAAAATATCTTTTGAAATGATTGTGCTTCATGTTTTTTTTTCAGTATCATAAAGGTCTATGGAGCGACTGGATTTCAACATTTAGATTTAGATTAATGTGCCTCTACTTCCTTTAAGCAAGTTTGGGAAAAACAACACTGCCTGATCCTGGGTCAGCGTCAGAGGCTGCCTCTACCTCCGGCTGCTCTGGATCACTCACATATGGGGGTGGAACAGTGTATTTGGGAACTTAGATCACCGTTATCCTTCGTCTCTCCTCCGGTTTCCTCCCCCTCTTGTTCTTCATCTTGCTTGATGAATATCTCTTTAATAAAAATCAGCTCCTTCTTCACTTCCTCCTGCTCCTCCTCTGTGAGGGAGGAGAGGAATGCTTGGACCTAAAAAAAACAGATGCAGCAGTTTTATATTCTCTTCTTTCTGACCGGACGTTTGCTCATAAAACCTGGGCTTTACTTTGGCCTCGCTCTCGTTGGACAGGATCTCCAGGGCTTCGAGGTGGGACAGACCCTGGTAGTCATCAAAGAGAATGCCGTAGTGAGCTGTGGGAGCGCTCAGCGGCTGGTTGCTTAGACGTGCACGCTCCTTTTCTTTGGCTTCCCTCAGCATCTGCAGAATCAAAGTCAGCACAGTGGGGTCACCTTGGTAAAACTGCAACTATGAAGACATCTCTGAGTTATTTTATCTATGAAAACCAAACTTAACAGAAATATCAGAGTAGTTATTCCTCAGGTAGAGTAATGAGTGCAGATAATTATGCAGCTGCAAACCTGACTCAGAGAGGCGGTCTTCTGCATCAGAGTCTTTGTCTTTTTAAAACCCGGGTCACTCTCGGCCAAAACATTCATGGTCTTCTTACCGATGAACTCCAAGGCATCCAGGCCTCCGCTGATGACTGACTTACCCTTAAAGACGAGGGACAAATGGAGAAAAGCTCATCATGGTGTATAGCGTGGCACCCATTAATATCTTGCTGTAAAAGCAATGAGCTGCAATTTTGTATTTTATACATTTAAGAAAAACGATTAAATGACATTTTATTCATTTCTCGTCTTACAGCAGTTTTGACACCATTGCTGCTTGGAAGCAAAATTCCAAACCAAATGATCTCGGTTGGGAACTCCTGGCTTATCAAGGTGAATGCATACCAAGGTTATTATCAGTAATTAAATAATGAAAACTGGACTTAAAAAAAAACACATTTTTTGTTAACTCAAATATACATAAAAACTTGACATTGCAAAAAAAACAAACAGAAAAAGAAAACTAAAAGCGTGTAAGAATGTGCTTAGTATTTTCCATTAGTGTCTTTATCATTGTGCATTCATATGAGGTCTAGTTTCCTGTTGCTGTTTTTGCTTTTTTTTCCCCACTGCACTATGCCAGCAGATGGCAGGTTTAGCAGTCAGGTTATTTGTTTTGTGTAGCCGTTTGTCCTTATCTGGGATTTTATTTCCATTATTATAATTTTTCAGTCTTGCCCCAAGCAATGCATGTCATATTAAATAAAACACTAAAGCTAAAACTGTAACTAATAACAACTTCACTTTTTTTTAAATTAAAAAATAAAACTAAAGGAGATCAAAAAAAGCACTAAAAACAAATTAAAACTAAACTAGAATTGAAAATCAGAAGTCAGAACCAAGTGAAAAGACTATTTAAACCTTGATGATACAGAAATCCCAGATTCCTGCATGTTTAACCACTCACAGTGTTCTGTACAGCGTGTGTGATTGTGGAGAAAACCCCCCTGCCGGATGATGCAGCAGGAGCAGTGCTTGCAGGAGACGACTCCTCTGAGCTGGATCTGTCAGGATCTCCTCCTCCATCTTTCTTCTCCCCTTCTCCCTCATCCACCTCCTCTAGCGCCTCCTCTCCTACAGAAGTCTTGTGGAGTCGAAGAGCCTCCCCTGCCTTCACCTTAACAGTTGTCAGGCTGTGCCCTGAAATAAGGGACAATGGAGACAAACAGTCATGAGGACATTTGTTTTATTGTTCTGAAAATCTCTGCTGGATCAAGTTGGAGCAACAAACAATTATCAGCTCTAAACATTGTTAATGGGAGCAAATATCTGTGGCTCAATAAACATTCACTGTGTCATTTTTCCGTTTTACACTGATTTAATCTGGTTTGACACACGACTCGGTTCTAAGAAAACACTTATATCAAAATGAATGTTTCTTATCACCTAAAAAAGGGAGACGTTGATAGATCATTTCCAGATCTTTCCAAACATACAGCATGTCCCTTAAAATTAAACTAAAAAAACCAACAAATCTATTTGGGAAAAATTTCAAATAACTTCAGAGCTGCAATAACCTGGTAGCATAAGAGTTCACATCCTTAAACACATAGTTTGTTGAGGCAGATTTTTAACCAGTTTCTACATTCTGTAAACGTCATCTGCTTGTCATGAAACTCTTACAGAGGGTTTATAAAGGACCAAATTACCTCACTGTCACAAGGAATCAGTCATATTATATAAAGCATGGCTACAAAAGAGGAGAAAATATAGTTCAACAAAATGTCCAAAAAACAAACCTTAAGGATAACAACAAAAAAATGAAACAAAACACAATAAAACACCTTACCATCAGTGAAGCATGGTGTTGGCAGCCTTATGTTGTGGGCTGACTTTTCTTCAAATGGAACTAAGTATATCAAATAATAAATACGATTCCTTAACCTTTGCCAGTTTAGGGATATGATCACTTTTCCAACTAGCTTAGAGAAAATGATTTTATTTTTTTACTCTAACGTTGATAGGATTTGGCCTTTTTTTCAGATTGAGCTTATTTCACATTAAAGGTTGAGAAACTAAATAATTTATTATGATCTATTTGTCCTTTTTTTTTCGCAAACAACCTGGATTTATAGGAGGCAGGTTCAGAGCGTGGCCGGCTGAACATTTTTCAGACTGGAGTAAATTATAAATTCCTCAGAAACAATTGCATAAAGACGACAAAAAAGGAAGATGTAAAACTGAGGAAGAAAAGCTGAGGAGAAGGAAGACATACCAACGCTGGAGGTGGCACTGCTTAGAAGTGATTTCCCCCAGGTACTCCAGCCTCCCCACCCCTGTTCTTTCTGCTGGACTGATGTCTGCACACAGAAACAGCACAGCAGCAGTCAACAAACTGCTTTGTGAGAATTGAATAAAATTTACACAAAGTTGGATCTAAAAGTCTTTTTAGATTCCAGATTAAAACAAACAAAACAAGAACAAAGACATTTTTCAAAACTAAAAAACTGCTCCAATTAGTATTTCACAGGTAAATGAAAACTTCTGTGTGCTCCAAGTTTACTGATGCCACATAGAGAACACAGCATCTGGCCCCCTGAGAGACCCCAGACAGTCAGGTTCATCTAAAGCTTGTTTCTGTTTGGGAAACTGAGACGCCCTGAATCCAAAGATCAGCAGCGAGAAGCAGAGAGGGGACTCCAAAGATCACTTTACTGTTACATTGCTTACTACACTGTGAACAAAGACATACAGGTGCAAACAGATATTTGCAGAAAGAAAAGACAGTAATTAACCAATAGCAACCAAATTGGGGATTTCTTTTTATTTTTTATCATTTAATCAACCAGTGAGATTAGAACTCTCTTTTTCAAGGCAGACCTGCTGAAAAATAAATAAATAAATGAATAAAACAGTTAAAAACCATTACATGTAGAAATGGCACCAGGAAAGACTATTTGAGAAAACGTAAAAAGCAGAAAGTTAGTTAGATCACACGGACCTTAAAACATTGACCATTTAAAGAGATCATCTCTAAAACCATGCATGTAGCTTCAAATCACTTGGGGAGCACTAAGATACAAAACATTTTGCAGGATGTTTCAAGTTATAAAGGCTTGGAGGGGAAATTACTTTTTTTCCCAAGTTTGTTGAAAACATTTAGGACAGATAGCAAATACTAACTAACCACTGAACTCAAAGAGTATTTGCTTTTCTAGGGATGCACCGGTTACAGGTTTTTGATTGATCACTGTTTACCTATCTTTAAAGCTCAGTTTTATAAGTTTTCAAGACCCCTTCAATATGTTAACCTTATTTGAGAAACATTAACCGCTATCGTTGAAACAAAAAAGTTCAAAACCCTCCAAAAACTGCTCTCAAATATAATTTGAAGTTGAAAGAATTGGCAGTGGCTGATTCTCAGACCATTGCAGCGATGACAGTAGTCAAAGCTTTCCCATCTGATATTATAAACCACAGTGATGGGTCATACTGCGTCAGTTTGTTATAAATCTTAAGGCAGAATGATTAACTGTATCAATCTCAGGCGAACTGTCCATTTAGAAGACCCATCTGTGTCCAAGTCTTAATTTCTCTACTGATAATTTCTCCTAATGTTAAGATCTTAAGATCAGCTTTTTGTAAAGTGCAGAAGTATATACTGCAGCAAAACTTTTAAACCTGATGCCACCTCCCCTGTTCTTCACACATGGGATGGTGTTTTATGTTTGCAAGCAGATGGTCATAACACACACAAAGAAAAAACTTAAAATGTAATTTGGGGTGATGGATTCTTCCTCTCTGATTGGCCTTTCAGTCCATGCTGTACTTGTTACAAAGTAGGTATTTAACATTTTAACAACATAACCTCACATTAACATTTTAACAGACAAAACTTCAAAAGACCATTTACAGCATGCATCCTCCCTTTGAATCATTTTGTTGTCAAAGAAGGAAGGGCGTGTTTGAGGTGTTATTTTAAGTAAATCTAAAGGTAGATCATCTAACCATCCCATTATCCCACCTGTTAGCTAATAGGCATATTTTTGTTAATCCTCACTGTTCAAAAATGGGGGGAAAAATTAATTTACGAGGATTCAATAAACAAAACAAGATCACGATGTTTTGTTAGATATATATGTTGAAAATATTCCAAAAACGTAAAAAAACAATCCACTGGACTTAGTTTCCAATTTTGAAGACGTTTCGCTTCCCGTCCAGGAAGCTATAAATATTAACCGTTTACTCTGCTTTATATGAGATGTAGGATGAATTTGTCTTAATATCCAATATGGAAACTCTATTGTTTAGTAGCAGGGAGTAGCAGCCTTTAAGAAGAGCATGATAAATCCTGGCAGTGCATAGCTTTAGGTGGGAACACTTTAGATTTGGGTCTTTCATGTCTGCACTCTTTGATGGCTAACAAGGAGCGGCGGTCCAGGCCTTAGGTAAATTGATTCTCTGTATTGTTTGCTCATTTTCAAGAATTTCGTTACACTTAAAATACTTATATAATTAAAGATGTTTTGATTTCTCTTTTTGCATCACATGTAGATCACTCCCTCAAAAATAAAGTGTTGAGGTCATGCAGTTTTTTCTGTTTTTAAACCCCTTTAGTGAGTGTGGTGCATAAAGAAGCTAAAGCAGAATATATGAAAACCTTCACTACAAACCTTCTCCTCCTCCAAGCTCTCTGGATCTGGCTCCAGGCTCAATGCTTGGTCGCATTCAACCACCTGATCCTCAACAGGAGCCTCTGACGGAGCCTCGGGGGCTTCAACTTTGGTTGTAGCTTCCACCTGCGCCGTCTTCACAGCTGAATCAGGAAAGTCTCCGCTCTCTGTGGGGAGAACCGGCTCCAGTATAGCTGTTGGTTTTTCAAGAAGTGTTGAATCATCCTGAACAGGATCGGCATGGGGAGCATGTTCTGACGGAGGCCCGCTGTTGGAGCACGGCTCTGGATCAGAAGGAACAGCCTGAGACATGGTATCCTGGAAGAGGGAGCAGCAGGTTAACTGGTAGAATCTGTACCTCTGATCTATCACTGAACCTTCAGCTTTTAACATGAATATACTCCAGTGCAAAAAACTACCTTCAGCGATCAATGCATCCCCTGAAAATCAACAAAACTACAGATAAAAATGTTTATTTGCATTAAAGTTCAAGAATTTTTCACCAATCATCTAAAAAAGTGAAATTCATTTTTTATAAAGGATTGCTGCTCCAAATCTTTATTTCTTGTGATGTTGATGATTAATGAAATGAAAACAAAAAAAAAGTCATGGGGAAGACTGCTGACTTCAGACACAAACACTTCACAGGGAGGGGAGGCTACAAAATTCAGTTTCCAAGCATATTAACAGAAAAGTGGAAAGAAGACATGTTGAAGCTAAATGTGCACTAACAACAGGAAGAAACATAAAAAGTCGACAGAGGCTGGAGTTGAAGCCTTAAGAGCCACTTCACAATGTCAAATACTAGATATGGGCAAAAAATATCAAGTTACTCCTGAGCCAGAGACACTATATCAGGGCTAAAGAGAAGAAAGATAGACTGTTTCCCAAAGTACAAAGTCCTGTTTTCAGATGAAAGCTATTTAATTTGTAAAATCAAGGTCCCAGAGTCTATCCAAATGTGTAAAAGTCACCTTAAAGCTCTGCCTTATTTCCTTTTTTTTCTCTCTCTCGATCACTGTATATATGTGGATGCACTGTATACATCCCATGCCCTTTTCCCTCTTTTTGGCACCTTCTTTTGTGTATTGACGTCATCTTTGACAAGTGAATTTCTCCACTGTGAGATCAATAAAATCTTATCATCTGTTTGAAGTTCAGTGTGAACTAGGGCTAGAAAATTCATTGCATTTGCAGCATAATTACAATCTATAAAAATTTCATTTTCTAATCACATAGGCTTTTAACTTGTGGTCACCTTCAATATAAAGGGAGTTAAACACTAACTTTCTCCATTTCAAGTGGCAATAATATGCCACATAGACGGGAATAGAGAGTTGCAGCTTGTTTGCTGACCAATGCATGCAAGCTAAAGTGAGAAATTTTCCACAAAAAAGTTGATTCGAAAAACAATGGTCTCTGGACAAAACAGGGCCGATGAGGGAGCTATAAAAGCAACCTGGCTTTTCCTTAGAGCTTCACACTCCGCACAGCATTGATGAGGTAATTCATGCAAGACGAGGGCCATCCACTTTTAGAGAGGATAGAAATGGACAAGATTTTTTTTTTTATTATTATTTGATATTACCTATTATAAGGTAATGTCAAATTATATGTATACCTATGAGATGCATATCTCTATTCTTTACCCGATTAGTTTTTTAATGTACCTGTACAAATCTCCAACAAGACTGAAAGATTTGACCTTTAAGAAAAGCTTTAATCAGAGTAGGGTTTGTTTTTTTTAGATTAAAGGACAGCCTAAGTTACAAAGAGTGACTGAAGTAAACATGAGCTCAGCATGAAGGCTGATTGTTTCTAAAGATTTGAAATCAATAAATCAAAAGGCTCCAGTTAGCTTCTGTTCAAAACCCTGATTTTTTTTTTTCTTTACAAGCAGCCTGTTTTTTTTTTGTTTTTTTGTTTATATCATTCCATGGAAACATTTGTGTTCATTGTTTAAAACTTTCAGATAAAACTTTTGAAGTTTTGCCTAGTTTTCCCACCTTTAATTTAACATGACAAATCAGTGAACTATGTCGCCATCTAGAGGTCAGTTGGAGAAAGTACACCCATATATTAATTGTTTTCAATCAAAACTTTGTTTCCATCAGTCTCTTTCGGATTGATGGAAACAAAGTAAGAAAAAAAAACGTGGCAATTCCAATTCGCTGCAAATGCTCTGCATTATATATGATTCTATAATTAACTGTATTTATCCACAGTTTTATTTTAAATCAAACAAGTATCCGAATGGCCTAACAAACTGTTTGAATAAACGTATAGGATGTGGCCCGAATCAACACAAAATAACACAATGACTCTTTAAAATGCACGAAATCTAAATATCACTGAGCATGTTATGAATAAATGCTAATATTAAACAAAACAAAGCCTTTACGGGACTTACATTACTATTGAATCATTACAACTTTAACGGCAATGTAAGACAATCTAACATGTATATAAAACTGTTACATACGTATAAAAACGTATTTTTATACGTTTCAGACATTTATAAAAGTCTATTTTTCTAAAGAAACACCTAAGACACTTTTAGTATCTAATCTAAGTAACGACAATATGAGTAAACAGTTATTTACTTGCTAGTTAAGGTCCTGTAGAGATGGCAAACATTTTAAATTCTGAAAAGAAACACAAACAGTGTTTTGTTGCTCCAGAAAGAGACAAGGGCTGCAGCTCACCCGTTTGGTGCCAGCCAGCGGCTCTTCTTCCGCCCCGCCACGTCGGCAGGCCGGGGTCTGTGACAGCATCAGAGAGTCACACTGGTCAAGATGATTCCCTGCTGCCCAAACACAATTCAGGATGTATACAAGCACCGCACTCACGGACCTCAGTTACAACTAAATACACTGCACTTTCCGGTGTATTTCAGGGTCACGTCATCAGGAACATTTCGTCTTAGTAATCATGATATATATCCCATTTTATCAGGGATACCAAAGTGTGTGAGACATAAATAGGCTAGACATAGGGGCAGCTACACACCGCCATAAAAAACAGTATCCGATACAAAAATTAAAGGGAACACGTCTCTTTCCGTCTGGCTCGTTGGTCTAGGGGTATGATTCTCGCTTAGGGTGCGAGAGGTCCCGGGTTCAAATCCCGGACGAGCCCTTCTTTTTTTTTTTTATTTGCTATCAGAATAGTTCGGAATTTCTTTATGTTACATAGTTTTGGGGTGGATGTTTTTATACTCGGGAATACATCCGTGCTCTGCGTTATTAAAAGAATCGGCCTGATTAAGAATAAGAAAAAACAAAGCTGGCGAATAGAGTTTCATAACTAACTTATATCAGAAGCAAAAAGAGAAAAAAAAAATAAAATAAAAGATTTTTATTTCCTCTGTAGGTTAAAAATAGCTTACTAACAAATTAAACTTGTAATAGCTGTACAAATACTTAAAAAAAAAATGTTTCACCAAACTAACAGGACTTATTTGTTAACATGTTTCTCATGTTAGATATGAATTAATAGATAAATAAAAAGTTCTACTTTAATTGCAAAAATATATCTGTTAACGCAATATTTTTAATGTTTTCTACTATGCTCTGATATTCAAAAAATCATGGAAAGAAATCAGTCCAATCCAATATTTTTAACCAATACATTTATTTAGTGGTATAATAATAATTGAATGTTCTTTAAAAAAAATGGAAAAATTACATAGACCTGTAAATTACAAGGATATGTTCACAGTTTAAAACAGTTCCCTTTGAATTGCCACCGCTTAGATTAAAAATATATGGTTTTTTAAAGACACAGCATGACAGAAATGTATACTAGAGTATCAAAAATCATGCGTAATAAAACCATTAATTGCCCTTTCAATTCAAAAATTTAAGTATATCACAACTTGCATGTGCATAGATAAAAAAACAAACCATATACAAAGCAAAAACAATGTACTGAGTATCAGGGAGCAAATGCAGATCAGTTGAGCTGCTACATTCGGTATAGTATTTGTGTAAATGTGAATAAATGAAGCTTTGCACCATTTAAAAATTGACAAACCGTGAAACCTGCAAAAGATTTCAATTTATTCAAACCAAACCTATATATTGATAGATGAGGGTTTGGCTTTGGGAATGAAATATATGATACTATTTCTATATACAAATATATTTTTATATGTAAAGTGCACATTGGAGATGTACAAAGACGCTTGGAAACTATTTGTTCTCCAGGAGGTGTATTAAAAATGTGCTCTAAAATATGGTAGAAGTAAAATCTGCAACTGTGTGACCTATGATTAAAACCATGGAGGAAAAACAAAATTCTACTTTCCAAATATATCTTCTCCATTGTAGGCTTAGGAGAAACAGAAATGTTTCTGAAATGCCAACATTAACGAGCCAATTTCCCTGTTTTGCACTTTGCATTTATTTTGTAAGAAAGTACCTTGCAAAAGTACCCTTATCCCTTGAACATTTACACATCTTGTTAAATTACAGCCATACATTTTAATCTGTGTTATTTGGGATTTTATGTAACAGAGCAACTCAAAAGTAGTGCATGGTTGTAAAGAAGAAAGACCTGCGTGGAGCACGTGGTGGAAAACTAATTCTTCAATCACCTTGAACATGGGCATCAATAGGGTGAAACATGGTAGTGGCAGGATCATGCTGTGGCTTTGCTTTTCTTCAGCATTGATAAGTTAGGTGGTCTGGTTTGAGATAAGGACAGTGGCGACAGTGTGGGGCGACAGTGGCGTTGGATGTAGTTTGCCCTGAAATCGAAGGATTGACGGTTCAAGCCCCAACTCCGACTTTCAGTGTTGTTGTGTCACTTCACCTGCATTGTCTACTGATGGTGGTCAGAGGGCCCGGTGGCGCCAGTGTATGGCAGCCCCGCTTCTGTCAGTGAGCCCCAGGGCAGCTGTGGCTACAATGTAGCTTGGCACTATCAGTGTGTGAGTGTGTGTGTGGATGGGTGAATGAATGTAGTGTAAAGCGCTTTGGTCAAGTCTCCTAACTTGAATAAAGGCGCTATATAAGTACATGCCATTTACCATAAGGAGGGATCGGACTAATTACTGAACAACACTGGAATAAAACCAGGCTCACCCTCACCACAAAATCTCGTTTGCTCTATCACAGAAACTCCCATTAAGTTAGTGGCTGTAACACAAAAATGGAGAAACATTCAAGAGCCAGTAATACTTTTAAAGGCACCATAAAAAGTGTCATACAATAAAAAAAAAGGCTACCACGGTGTCATATATATATATATATATAAAAAAAAAACAGAAACAGAGTTTATACATACATAAAACATGTTATAATATAAAAAGAATAATAGTTATTCTACCCTTTAACCATTTGATGGGTGACTTTTCCTCACTCACACAATAATGCCCCTGTGCAGCCATGTTCACATTTCTGAATGAAAACATTAATAAACACTTCACTCTAAAAACAAAATGAATGAGACCTGCCGTCCCACTTTTACTTTTACACACTTTTACAGCTCAGACTTTTACCAAGCTGCTTTTATTAAGTGCACCTTTTCTTGCTGTGTGTGTTTGTGTGTGTCCAATGGAAAGCAAGTATTTAGCTACCTGTCCTCACTTCAAAATGAAAGGCCCACTTAACACCAAATATGTTACGTGTTTGCTCCGTGAAAAAGAGACGGAGCAGGGCATTGGTTATGCTGTTTCACCACGGAGCCAGTGGGATTTTACTGTATGGAATAGAAGAACGCACAGATGACAGCGTCTGTGTGAATAAGGAGTTAAGCTTGTAGAGGCAGATGTGGTGTGTGGTGTAACGTGCAGGCTCATTAAGAAGGATTAAGCATTAGCATTATGTCACAGCTAGCTGCGCTCAAGAAGAAGCAAAACGACAAAGAAAAAACAGCTTAAGTATGTATGACACAATGCATAGTGGGTGTGATGTGATACATTCTGGATAGTTTTCACATTTTATTGTCCTAGCTAGCAAATAATGTGTATAAAAGTATGTTTCCAAGCCCAAAAAGTAACTACAGAGATCCTATGATTTATTAAAGAATTTGAGCATGCCAAGACTTGGTTGATGATGCAGGTTGTCTCTGCAGACACATGAGGGTGCTGCTCTCAAGCCAGCTGAGATGCTGCAGCCACTCAGGGCCCTCCACAGCTGATCAGAGGTCTGACACAGCCACCATAAATGTCTAAATGAGCTGAACACAGAGTAGCAAGGCATTCCCGGCTCTTTTGAATGAGGTGAAAGTGTTCTAAACAGGCGCCCTGAGGAGACGTAGAGACTTTCACACTAGAAGGTGGCGCTTTTTGTGTAGCGCCAGGTGGTCTGAGCGGGAGAAGCTGCGTTCGCAGTCAGGACACTGGAAAGGTTTGACTCCTGTGTGCTTGCGGAAGTGTCTCGTTAGCTCGTCTGAACGGGCAAACTTCCATGTGCAGCCTTCCCACACACACTTGTAGGGTTTCTCTCCTGCGCAAACCAGAAGAGGAAAAAAAGCGGTTAAAGAAATGTCACATTTTATCAATAGAAAATATATATCGTGTGATCATATCTGGACCATCAGAAATTAAAATAGTACATACATATCACCTGTCCTTTTGTTCTAAAGGTTATGCAGTAGGCATGAGGATCATTGGTAAGAGAAAAATACACATTCTTAACTGTTTTCTAGGAACATTTCTGCATTTTTCCCCTTTTTTTTTATAAATGATGTGATAACATAATATAATTCATATAGGGCAGTCAGTGAGAGTGTTATTTCTATCATCCGTTTCACACACAATCATAGCGTCACATGTATTAAGCACACAAAATTAAACATTCAATTTGTTATTAACTGCATGAGCAATTAGCATTCCTAATTTGGGATCTTAATAGATTTATCCCTTAATGTAGAACAGGTTTAAAAAAAAAAACAAAAAAAACCTCTTTGCGTGTGAGGCCTCTTACCAGTATGTGTTCTGCGGTGCGCTTTGAGGTGGGAACTCTTGGTGTACACTTTGTTGCAGCCAGAGAAGTCACAGCGATGAATTCTGCGTTTTTTTAGCGTGTCAGGTGATTCTGCAGGTAAAGGATGCGTAGACCCTGTGCGAACTATCACTGATGGATTGTTGCACCTAAGAAAGAAAAATACAAATATCTCAAATGGTATTCCCTCTTTATGTGAAATGCTCAGCAGAGGGCGCCAGATTCCTGTTTGGAATTTTTGAAATCTACAGGAGCTGATTTTTTGTCTGATGCTACCATACTGAGAAATACATTTTTCTAATCTAACTTGCAGTTGTTTTGCCATTTCATTTCCATTATCTGCCATATTTGTGTATCTACATTTCAACAGTTTACTGACTAGAAAGTCATCTAAGCAGGATAAAAAAAAAGATCTGTAGGTCTTTACAGCCCTGCTGCTGTGAGTTAACAAATCTTAAAAGGGACACCAAAGCCTTAAAAAAATGCAAAGGACACGATCCAAAAAAAAAAGAAGCAATGTGTGCCAAAACAAATCGTGACACATCTTTTTAACCACAGCCTAAAGAACTGGGAGTGTGTTTGTATAAGTGGCAGTTGGGAGCAGGTGTCGAGTGTTGAAATGTGAATTAATTTCTATATAAAAGAATGTGGAGAATTCCCCTGAAAACACAGAGCCCAAAAGAAACCGGTCATTATTAGAAACCTAATCACCTCTGAAATATTTCCTGATGGATTATAGTTTATTGTATAGAGAAAATGTGTATGTAGGAAGTTATAGAGGTATTGACAGATAAAGCCACACCCACATATGCCTTCTTAAGGGTCCATTCATGTCTAAGTTGGCACAGTTACAACAACAAGCCTGTAAAAGCAGCCACCCAGACAAGAACTGGAACGGATGAGTTACGTTCTACTAACACACAAGCAAAAAAAAAAAAAACAACGGCAAAAAAAAAAAAAGGCACAGGTGAGAACCAACTGCCAGTTTGCTGTTTTGAATATCACCTTTGTAAGTAAACCTGCAATTTGTTCCTTTGAGGGGAAAAAATGGCCTTTAGTTAGCGAAAGATGAAACACTTCCGAAAAAGCCCAGAGGAAACGTGGAAGAGTACGAGCGAGAAGAAGAGCTGTTGAAGACATTTACGAGAAAAGGAATTGACAAACATAAAGACTCTCCGCTGTCATTGGCAGCTTTGCTAAAGATATATACAAAGGACTTATGAGAGCAATGGAGACAGTTCTCACGGGTGGAGTATACAGAGGGAGGGTTTCTTGATCATTTCTTTTTGCGCAATGTCAGAAAATCCAGAGTCCTGGAACCACACTGCACCATTGTCTTCGGCTTAGCCTAGAGGATTTCTATAGCATGTAGCTCGGGGGGATTGAGATAACCATAGAGGAAGATTGGTCATGCATCCAGGAAGCCAATTCTGCATCGATCAGATTGTGGTTTTTGACTACTTAAGTCAGGTGAAAAAATCCAAAGCTCTTGAATTTATGCTGGTCATAGTCATTAAAAAAGTAAAAAAAAAACACTGAACTTTGTTTCCAAGTCTGAAGACATTTCACTTCCCATCCAGGAAGTTTTTTCAATTCAAATGTCAGGAATAGTATTGAGTTGCTTCATACAGCAGCCCCACAAAGCCTTGTGTTTGCTTAGACAACATGGAAATTTAAAATGGATGAACCGGTCCACCCCTTTGGAATGGGGGTCTTTTGGTTTCTTTTGTTAGCCTTCAATACCCCATGCCTGTCTATGTCTCTGAAAGGGGACTCTCAAAATTATCTTTATATATCCCTAAAGTAAAAAGTCCCAGTGTGGTTGAACAAAATCTGTTTATATTTTTGATAGCAGAACAGAAAAGCCTTTTTTTTTTCTGGCACAGCTGCCAAACAGCTGGTTGGTTTTCAGATTTTGGAGACATTCTCACAATTCCATAAAAATGGTTTACTCTTTTCAGCTATTTTTATCACAAGTTAGATTGTTGTTAACATAGTAATGATTGCTTTAACTGTCAATATGGAGATGTTTAGCTTAGCTTTTATTTTCTTATTGCCTTTTTCTATCATGCCATATGCTATTTAGAAAGGAACCAAACTGGTATAGCCTTAAGTATCTGTGTTAAGGACCTCAGTTGACTCTAGCTGTGGGATAGCATCTTGCTTTGGACAAATTCTAACATGGATCATGTTGAAACAGTCTCTGACCAATATTGCCATATAAAGTTAAAGGGGAAGAAAACACTGCAGCTTGTGCAACCTTTGTAGTGTCTCTCATTATCTTTGCATTTAGTTTGCCTTTGTCAATGCTTCTACTCACTCGTAATCGTGGGGTATCCTCATGACAGGAGATTTAATCTCATGGCTGCTCAGAGCGTCCTGAGAAAGTTCAGACTGAGACTCGGTTTTTATTGACTTGTGCAGCTCATGGACCTCCCCATGCTTCGCAGAGTGAACTGGGTAAAGAGAAAAGAAACATAGTTTCGTTAGTTTTCTTTCCATTTACATATTTCTAAGATTTTATTTGCAGAAATAATGTTGGGTATCTCCACATATTCTTCTGAAACCACCACAAAGTTCAAGTTATACAGATTGGGACACTCCAACCAGCCGGTAGGCCTACTGCTAATGTCTATTTGGGAATGCCCCTGCAAGCTCTTTGAGCCTTTTAAGTGTATTTAGTTCTCTAAAGTTGGCAATCTGCACTGCCAAATAATGGCCATTTGGAGAAGTGGGTGATTCCAGGTGACCTCCAGCTGGCAACAGGCCACACACCAGAGGAAGAAAATATTTTTTTGAAACAGTTTTCTAAAAGCAGAGAGTAAAAAAAAAAATGCTTCCTCATTTTCAGGAAGACTTACATAAACATAAAAGAAGGAAACAGTTTAAGACAATGAAAAACATTTAACAGAAAACAAAAATGATTTCAACACCTTTTTCTCGTTATCGTTAAATTTTCCTGATAGTGTCAAAGCAGGTCATGTTTGAAATGCAACATTCCAGCATCTGCCACCTAAGTTACTCAGAATTAGTTGGGCATTGTCAAGATAGACATCAGATAAATACAGATAAACAACAAAAGAGGAGCATCTGCAACAAGCAGAGGATATCAGACATACTTCGTCTTCAGCCGAAGAGAATAGCTTAATCTTTGATTTTTGCATTTCTCTTGAACAAAAGCCTGTTAAATAAAAGACTAACGTGTAAGAGGAATCTAAAGTGCCACGCAAAGGCTTTTTCATACCTCACTGAATTTTTCACAAGTCTTAGATATTGAGATAAAGACAACATTGAACTTTTCCACCCACATGCTGAACAAGGAATACCTGGATAGAAAATACGAGGGAATGGTTTAGATAAGTGGTTCACAATCCAGGTCCTGCAGTGTTACTGCCCTGCAAGTGTTAGATTCTCTGTTGCAGCTCAACAGATTTAAATGATTGCATGAAATCCTCAGCAGCCATCAAATGCTGAAAAGGACTATTATTAATTTCTTCACATAAGTCTGTGGCCTCTAAAACACGCAGGGCAAGGGTACCTGAACAGGATACTCATGTGTCCAAATGGTCCAGTCCATCAATTTTAGGTTAAATCAGAATTGGAGGCATGGTTTTAAAACTGCTAATTGTAAACCACCATGCAATCTGGATAAGTTTCATCCATTTCGCATTGATAATTTTCCATTTGCAAAGCCAATAGAGGCATAAACAGAACTTGTTTGGAACGGTAATAGCAGCAAAAGGCAGAGCTACACATTTCTGGCTCAAGAATGCTAAAAATACAAATGCATATTCCTTGTAAAAGCTATCAAGTACCACACTTGGCTATGCTTTCACTTCCCAATAATTGCTTCTGTTGTGTTGGTCAAATCCCTATTACATACACCAAAGTTTGCGGCCGTAAGGTGACAAATTGTGTAATTGTCTAAGTTGTAGAAATGCTTCTGTAATGCTTTGTATCAAGTTGAGCAGAATATAGATGAAGGTACAAGCAGGTCTCACCATACTTATGTTCTCTGCTGGTAGGATGGCTTTCATCACTGGGGAGAGGTGGGCTCACAATTATCGGCGGATGAAGGTGAATAGGTGACGGGTACATGAGAGGCAGGGGTAGAACAAGCGGTGACACCATAACCCTTGGACTTTGTATGACCATAGATGGGTAAGACATTGTGTGAGTCGGTGGGGGGAGGGGTTGAGTGGGTGAAGAGTGAAGGTGGGAGTGCGGGGAGCAGGGGGAGGCACGGCTCACAGAGCTGTAGGTTGAGGATGGAGAGCTGGGAGGGGAGGCTGGGGAGGATGCTGGCGACGTAGAAGAAGCTGAAGAGGTGGAAGAGGAGCGTTTGCTGACGGACAGGTCCACTGGCTCCTGCTGTGTTGAGTTGCATGGGGTGAAGGTGTGCATGGGCATTCTGTAGAAGGCACTGGGATGGGGAAAGATCACTCCGTATGGCTCTGGGGTTGTCACTGAGGAAGGGTAGAAGGACTGTGAGGAGGAGAAGAGAGGATGCAGGAGGAGGAAGTGGTAAAGGGAAACAAAAGAACAGAGAGGTAAACATTTCCTTTCTGCCTTGAATAACATGGAAAACATATTTCTGCGAACAAACAACTGAAGCCAGCTGAAAAAATTGAAACGCAGCACTCTGCTCAGCAGCAGATAACTGTTATAAGTACAGTGTTTGTATCCACGTTCATTAGCCTGGCAGTATGTGTAGCCATTGTATGCAAACAAGCTGCTGTAAGCAGCTTGTTTGTCCAGGAAGACCAGGAATGTGGGAACCAGTTGGTCTAGACATGTAGCAGGAGTGTGTGGAGCTTTTTTTACTTGTGTGTGTTGGAGCAAATGCATTGGTGGTAGAGGTGAATGGGGCATCAGCATGTTTGGGCAAGATGGAAGAAGTAAAAAAGCATCTAAAAATTTTGTTTGCACAAACACGCCATCCTTACCGTCTCCATGTCTGTCTTTGGAGGGTAATCATACATCAGCATGTCTGCAAAGGCCAGGCTCCTACAAAATAAAATATATTTGCATTAGTACACATCATCTTCCTCAAATATTCAGTCATCTTCTTTTACACTCAAAAGAAACACTGCGTCATTCTTTAAAACAAATCTCTGATCCATAACAGTCCTATTCTAAAGTTTATGCATTTATGTTTTTAACTCTGAATATATGGATAAACTCTTTACTGAAAACACTTTTTTGTTTAAAATACAAAACAAATACAAGTGAGAAACTCAGACTCTGAATCCCCTAATTGATAAATTTCTAAAGTTTATTGTTCATTAAAATTGTTGCCTCAAAGAGGATTAGAGAAATCAGTTTGGAACCAGATTGATACACTTTACATCTAGACTGGCACTGATCTGTGACCTTCTGTTCGAAACCTTATAGGTGTGGTAGTTTTCTGATCCCCGAATACAACAAGTGCGACTAAGTCACACTCACAACAATGCTTATTGTTGTTGAAACTGTTAATAAGCAAAAGAATTGCCTATTTTCAATATCAGTGAGGGGTTAAGTATGAAAGGACAAGAAGCTAAAAAAGGTATTTTCAATGACACAGCAAGATATGTCAGCATCAGGCTGCAAGAATCTGTATCTTTCATGTCAAATGCTGAATTTAGACATGGATCTTTTTCTATATGGAATACATTTGGAGACTTCACTAAAATAACCTGTTTAAGTTAATTTAGATTTAGACTTAGAAATTGAAATAGGCTAAAATAGCTCGCATTTGATCAAAGCTTTACTAAAACCATTGGTTGGAAATAACTGCACAACCTGAGGCTGCTTTGTTGCTTGTATATTTGCAATTCTCACGTGCCAAGTGGTACATACATGCACACATAACCACCAAATGTTTTGAAACAAAGTTCTGTATATTGGGATGTGCTATTTAAAATGTCAAAACATATTAGAACATTGAAAAACCTCTAAAACTAGAGAAAACTTTTTGCAGGTTTGATGTGCCTGGAAAAACGTCCCGGTGCAAAAAGGTTTAAACCTCTGACACCTGATCACACTTTAACACTCCCCAACTACTGAGAATGGACAGGTATTTGGAGAAAAGAGTGTACGTTTCCAGTGCGGTTCCAGTTACCTTGGCTTTAAATGGCCAGATGGAGCTGGGCTGGCTCTTTGTGCCTAAATGAGTGTGATTGTGTGCAAGTGTGTGTTTGTTCACTGGAGCATTAAAGCAACACGAACTGTCAAAGAATGTACCCTGAGGGACTCTGTGTGTGTGTCTGTGTATGACCTGATTAAAGTCCACAGTCTGGAGACAGGTTGGCCTTTAATTATTAACAAATGGCTAAGAACACCAGTCATCACGGCCAGACAGACACACACAGGAAGGCATACAGGCACTCACGCAGAGGTTGGGGATGGAGAGCAGACGAATGAGAGACGGAGGCTAACTAGCTGGGTCAGGAAGGGTGTGAACATGACGAAAGAAACCTCGCCCTTTGCCTGTCTTCAGGGAAACAAAGAGCTTGGCAGTCAGGTGTGTGCATGTGTGAGGGCTTTGCGAGTGTGCTTCCAAACCAGGTTTAAATTGTATTGTAGTTCAACCAGAGGTCAAGTAATTGTCCTATTGTGGTTGTGAATTGCACATTGCGCTGACAATGCAGACAAGTATGAAGTGCAAACAGAGGACGACAACAGGATATGGACAAAGGAAGGATTAAACCGTGACTTTTACAGCAACAACCAGAAAGTTTAAGTGTTTTAAAGCTGTGGTATGTGTGACCTAAATAGAAAACTGGGCTGATCCTTAAAACGAGGTGTTAAACATCCATAAATCCCTGATTTACACAAGAAGTAAATCTCAGCAGAGAATTGTTTAGAACACATTTTCTTCAATTAATGAGCAATGAAACAAATAAAGGCTATAGTTTAGGTTTGATTTGTTTAATCAAGTGTGTATTTATACTTTAGTGCATATTTCAGGTGTTTGAACAGTAGAAATACTATAGGCTTCTATATTCAATTAAAAATACACATTGTAAATGTGGTGGTTATTGGACTTTTCTATACCCTTTTTTAAAATAAATGTACATTTTTAATTTATATTGACTTCATTAAATGCTAATTGGTGTGCTCAAACACTTGAATCGAGCTGCTTGTTTTTATTAACCTCAGTTCACCAAATCAAAATTACTTTTAAACCTTTAGTGTTTCTATCCAATTTTAAATATATTAATCTCTCAAACTAATTTTTGTTTCTAAAGTATGTAAACAATTTTTTGTTATGATTGCTGTGGATTAAACTTTCTTTTAGCGAAAGATATTTCATTTATTGATTAATATTAGAATGATTAAGCTGCTCTTCTTCCAATATCAAACAAACCATAAAATAGGTGGATTTGTTTAACTTCCTAACAATGCTAACCACAATGAACTACTATATACTTTAATAAGTAAATACAACAGCATTTTATATAACTATTTAGGATTGTTAATTCATATTTTTTGTAATTCACCTGGACAAACAGAAATGCGAGTTTCTGAATGCAGACCTGTTCAGAAGCTCCACCTAGAGATAGGGCATCACATTTCTTGTTAAATTTTAAAAATATGGTCAGAGTACATGTGCATTCAAGAACAAGTTGCCCTACATTTTGCACTTGGTGTAAAAATCTCAACATCACCTAACTATAAGGATATACCAGGTAAAATTGCATGGTAAAAACATATACAGACAACAGTCACAAATGTATCTATATAAGGTAGAGCACATACAGAAAATGGCAATTATCTCTAAACACCTGAACAAGAACAGCCCCGAAGACATTTAAACCTCCAATATTCACCTCTGAAATGTCTCAGAAATATGCTTGCGTGCTGAAGAACAAACGCCTTTTGCCTAAATACAGGTTAAATTCTTCGAAAGACTGCATGCACTTGCGGGAACATACCATTCTCCTTAGGGTTAACTTGTCAAGCGCCACAAAGTTCTCCAGTGCAGAAAGTTTACATAAATCTGAGAACAATATGAAGCAATTTTGAAAAAGTTGCTCAATGTGTGGACAGTTTGGAAAGAACATGAGATAAAGTGATCTGTTAAGCAGACCGAAATGAGTGCTACAATCTCCTACTTCTGCAGGACAGATTCAAGGCTTAAATCAAATATAATCTACAGCTAAATGAACTAATTTAGGAGTCATAAACATGGTAAATAAAAAGTCTAACTCATGTTGTAAAGGAATCCCCCCCCCCCCCCCCCCCATTTGTGCAAAAGTGGGTGTGTGTTTGAGTATGTCTGCAAATATTGTCTTTCTAGGTCAGTACAGCTACTGTGTACTCAACCCCAACCCACTCAGCAAACACTTCCTGGATCTCCTCTCCACACTTGGACTCCATGTTTTCTCCTATAACTCCTCTTCATTCGCCCCCAAGCAATTACTTGCAATCACTCATATCACTACCATATTTAACCCTCCACCCTGATTCTCCTTGCTCGTCTTTTTTCTCTCCCTCTCTACGAATGATATAAAACAAACATGACTGAAGGGGAAAATATTGTGGCTTGGAGGCCTTGGCTACCAACTCAACCACACACACACATTTCTACATGATCACGGCAGCACACAGGACTTTCTGCTAGCTCAACAAAATACACACACTAAATCACTAAAGGGCTAAATTATTACAGACACGCACACATGCTCTAATGGCAGCAGGCTGGAGATGATGAGATCACCAGAGAGACCAGAAACCTCCAGACAACAGCTTTGTCCAAGAACACGCTGCAGCACACACACACGGTGAAAGCCATGATCTCCCTGCCCCTCACTCTGGCTTTTCCTTTACTGTAAAGCCTCTTTTTTCCCTTATTTCCTTCAGTCTCACCTCATGTCAGTGCCCTCCACTGTTTTATCTCACCATTGTCACTTTGACACCAGATTGCCAAACTCATACTCTGCAGCTTATGGCAATATTGCCTAATCTTCTTCAGAACAGGAACTTCATGTACAAAATAAAGACTGACTCGAACTTTGTTAATGACGGCACAATTAGTCCTAAATCAGGGTCTAAACTGCCTGACTCATACAGGTGGTGAGCTAATATTCCTACGGTTGACTCTTTAAGAGCTATTAAGTGCACACTTCCCATCAATTGGCCTTTGTTGCTTCATAATTGCTCCCACTTGTAAATCTCTCAACACTAAGTGTAGCTCTATTAGGCATCAAACCAGCAGGTGAACCTGCTGGTTTGATGCCTAATAGAGCTACAAACCAGCAGGTTCTCAGCGTGGTAAACGTGCAGAAATTTCCACAAAGATAACCTTGGGACAAATTTGACTAGTCTATTAACAACAACAAAAAACTTTAGCATCCATTAAGTCCAGCCTTTCTCTCAGCCACCTCTAGCTGTTCAGGAATGGCCAGTTAAATCAGCAATAGCCAGCAGATATCTATAATTTTAGATCCTGTATCAGGAGGACATCCTGGAACCTCAAAGGTGACAGACATCTTCCATTCCCAGCAATCAGAAATGCTTCTGGTTCAAGGATGTCTTTTATTTTAGTTGCCATAAGTCTAGGGCTGCAACTAAAGATTATTTTGCAAATCGATCAATCTGTCGATTATTTTTTTTTATTATTCCATTAATTATTGGGTAGACAAAGGTTCCTTAAAGATTTTTTTACTAAATTAAATCAGATGAAACTAAAATGTTTACACTTGAGGAATTCTGGATAGAGTATACTGACAGATAATTTTTTTTTTCTTAAATGCAAAATGTTTATATGTTTTGCTATTTATAGATATAATTACTGCTCTAAGTTGTTTCTGTGTTAGCTCAAGGCATGTATTACAATCTCAATACTCTATTTAACAAATAATCTATGACTAAAATAGTTGATGATTATTTCAATAATCGATTAATCATGATTATTTTGATTAATTGTTTCAGCCCAACATAAGTCAATAGAAAAACTGCTGCCACTTGCCTGTTTAAGTTATAGCATTCATCATATGAACATCATGTGACTATGGCATATATTTACAACCAGCTAATTCTTTTGTTTTTTTCTAAGCATGTTTAAGTATATTAATAATTAATAATGGAACTTTATTGATCTCCCATTGGAGAAATTTACTTCTCAGTGTGAAGTTAAGGGTCTTGCTCAGGGACCTAGTGTGCAGGCTATGGGGATCAAACTGGGTACTTCCAACCTTCTTAGAGCACAAGTTTACTGCTCTAACCACTAGGCCATCACTCCCCCACAGTGCTGATTTGCTCTATGCTTCATGTAGCTAAAGAAAATCATGCTCAAACCAACATCTTTTCCAGATTTTTATTCAAGCATTAAACTGTAGAGACTGTTTGGTGGAAATGTCTTACTGGTTTTAACTGCAACCTTTGAAAATATGGATAACTGTCAAGCAATGCTTAAAGAAACACTGACACACTTCATTGTTTCTTTAAGGAGGACACTTAAATTGAACCTTATATTTTTCCAATGCAAGAAGTCTCTTTCCAAAGCCACTCTAAGGTTTAAGAGCCATTTTGAGCCAGCTTACTATCAGTTTAAAGCAGTAGGTAGAGGAGAAGCATTGCTGATTAAACAGGTTTGGGAACCAAAACTGTCTAAAACTAAAGTATACCCAGATACCAGTAACTAGGCCATGCCAAACCATCATTCTGCATAATATCAGTCAGTCATCTCGCTACTGGTTCCTTTAGTTCCCAAATAACATTAGCTCTGCTGACTCCTCTTACTTTGAGGCCTCTCTTTTTGGCATCCCATTCCCTCTATTGGTCTGCCTAGCCCCTACCTCCCCAAAAACCCACACACACACTCATGAACACACATGTGCAGATCCTCTCTGCTCCTCTCCAGCAGACTTTGAGGCTACAGGCCTCCAGACCTCGGGGGGGTGGGGGGGAAGCCAGAGGGGGGCCTTCAGCAGGGGAGAGGAAACAGGATCCATCGTCTTGCACATTGACACACAAAAACGCGAATGTGCACGCATTTAAAGACACAACCGGAGCTGTCAAGCACAGTCAAAGGCAAACACGCGTGCGCACACCTCAAGTCAGCTTGTCAGAAAGTGCCATTTTTGAGGCTTTCCAGACAACTAAGGACAGAGGGGAAGGGGAGAAGAGGAACGGGGAGAGAAGCGGAAGCCCTCAGAGTTCAGGCCGACTGTTATTATTTCCACACTCCGTGATGGGTCGGGGGGTGTGAAGGAGAACAGGAGGAGGAGGAGGAAGAGGAGAGCAAAGCCAAATGGGGGGTGCTGCTGCAGGGGGCCTGTGGTTTCCTGTCTGACTCCCACCCCTCCACCACATTCTGCACCTCCCTGCTCCAAGAACGAGAGGGGAACAGGGGGGGAACAGAGCAAAAAACAAAAAAAAAACAGCCGCTGTAACCCAACTATGTCAAAATGGAAGTGGAAACAACAAGGTTGAGACAGAAAATGGGAAGAAAATGAGGTGGGTTTCAACCAAAGTATGACAAAACTTCAGAGAACCTCAGACATGGGGAGGGGGGGCAGGCGATGAGATAGTCGCATTGGCTCAATCCAGCGGTTTAAACGCACTGAGAGATGTGTCGGTGTGTGTGTGTGTGTGTGCGTGCTGCAGCATGACATAAACTTGTGTGTGCTGGCAGGCATGGGGTTGTGTAACTACTTACAGCTTTTTAAGTTTATGGCTGTCTGAGTAGCACAGTGTCTTTTTCCCGTAAGTTCCCAGAGAGAACCACCAACCGTCCAGCATCCAGGAGTTTAATGTTTAGCCCTAATGTTCCCTACGACATGGCCTTTGAGCAGCTGTGTGTGTGTGTTAGTGTGTGTACACAAAGTCTTGTGCATTTTGTTCCACCAGATAACATCAGCGTGTTGATTCAGGAAAGGAGGCGTTGGGATGGGTGGAGTATTTAGGGCGTGTGGGTGTGTGTGTGTAGTCTCCTTCTTTAACGTCTAAATTAGAAATCAATAAAAACAGACAGAAGAGTCCTCTCTTATGGTACCTAGGATAGATGAAAAAAAGAGCAAGAAAGGGAGAAAGAAGCTGAGTGGAGAGATGTTGCCCTTGCTACACCCGTCTACCCCCAACATCCTCCTCTCCTCCCTTCTTTCTCTCTCCCTTCTTTCTTTCTCCAGGCTCTAAACAGGATAAGGGCTTCATATGCCAAGTGGAATGTGTGACGCAAGCCCAGGCCTTGAAACAAAGCACAGGAAACAGGGAGAGACAGAGAAACGCGCACACACACACACACACCTACAGATTACACACACACAGGGGAGGAGATGCACATTGTAAAAGACCTAATTTAACTAAAGGACAGAGAGGAAAGTTCAGGTGTGACAGTGTTATACACAGTTTTTTATCACTCATTCAATGCGTCAAACCACACTTAATTAGTGATAATTAGCAGACAGTTTAATCAAAACAACTCATATTATTCACAGCTAAATTAAATGACACAGTGACATATAAAAAATAGATGTTACTTAAAAATTTCACACTCATCTTTCTTTTGTCTTGAATTATTATTAGCTGTTCTTAGATAAAATAACATATCAGTTCTAGGGGGCATCAGTTATGAGATTTTATTATTTTCAGCCATTAAGGGAAAAAATACTGTCAGAAGAGAAATTATTTGCATAGATTATTTTTAACACCATTTAATAAACTTATTTAACTTTAACATCAATAAAAAAAAATTAATGAAACATGTTCCTAATTTGTTTGAAACAAAATCCCTTTCACTTTATATTTCTGTTAGAGCCTAATTTAATCCATTTAATAAAAAGCATTAGGATCCCAAATATGGTCAAAGGGCAATTACAACCACAGCTACGTTTTTTTGATTATGTATTAATGATATGACCATTTAATTAGACAATTGTAAATACACAGGCTTTTTTTGTATTATGTTTTTTTTATTATTATAGGAAATATACCTGATTATAAACTTTTAAGACACTTTATCACATTTAAGACTGATTTAAAACACGTTGTCTGAAATAGGAACAAAAAATCTTTTTAGGTAATATATATATATTTTTTTCTTTAGAGTTTTTTTTTTTTTTTTTTTTTAAATATTACAGGTAATTAAAATCACATCTAACCCTTATGGCTTGAAGATTAGAAAATATATATTTTTTTTCCCAGCTTGAATATTTCTACTGCCAAATAAAACACATACAATGACAGATAATTATGTAATATTTCCCAAATGTTTTTTTTTTTTTTTTTACTCATAGGAAACAGTTGCAGAGTTTCTACAGGATTATCATCATCATCATCATCATCAAACTTACGTCTCCGCTCAGTTTCAGGGTCAGTCCTTGTTGGGGACAGACGCTCGTTTTGCTGCTGCCTTGCTGAACGGCAGAAAAAAAAACCGACCGGCGGAATTTAACCAGGCAACCTCCGGAGAAAGAGTGGCGCGCGCGGCGCTGCGAACGGATCGATGGCTCCACTGGACCGAACCGGGTTCCTAAAGTCCTCTCTCCAAGTGTAGCGTTAATAAGTGAGCCGCTCCGGGTTTGCTGCCGTCATATGATCCTGTTTGTTCGCCTTAAGGGGTCGGACCTTTAGGGCGGGACCTGGGCGGGGTGGCCCGGTTCACTGCGTGCGTCTTTCACGCACTGCAAGGCTTTTCTAGCGATAGATGGGCACCAAAGATTGGTTCTAACTAATTGATGTGGAGTTATGGGAAACGGAAGCTGAAAACACACTGTAATGAGCGCTTTTACAGAATTAAAAGAAACAAAATTGCTCTTGAAGATGCATGGAGATTTATAAAATGTGTTTTAGACGTCATAATATCACCACATTAACTACTTAATTATGTTTAATTGCAGGCTACTTTCATATCATATTTATTCATTATAATTGAATGAATTCACGCAAATTTCTGTGAGTTCAATGTCACACTGCGTTAGTGATATTGCATTTATTTTAACTTTGTAATATTTGACTGTATTTATCTTAATTTATTTCACATAAAGTTGTCTAGGGAAATACAAATCAACATCAATTAAACTTGTGTAGAATGATATTTCCCTACTCAAAGAAAAGGACCCTTCATCTTATATTAACGTTTTTAAATTTGAATCAATTTGAAATTGAAATGTGCATGCACTAGGGTTTCTACCTCTTTAAATATACCTGTATGTATCTTATAGGTTGGTATAGATGGAGTCATGATGGTGTATTTAAGATGATTGCTTATTTGCATAAAATCAACAATTAAAATATATCCACCAATTTATCAGGAAGAGCAATTGGGACCTCCAACATGTCAGCCACTGATTTTTACCAATCCAAGAGAGATGAGTAAAGTGCCCCAAAATTTTTATTAAGTAAGAGTAGCACTACTTGATGATATTTTTAAAAGGTAGCCTTTAAAGAAAGAGCAAAACAGTATTTGGTAATAATAATTTTTGAGTACTGAGTAACTGATGTACTATCATAACAACTAGGTTTAATGTTTTACAAAATGATGTAAAATTGATAATAATATGCAAAATCTGGTCTTTGAAAGAATAAGATTGAAATAAGTATTTATACAAAAAAGTACAGTAATTATACAAGAAAAGTTTGGTGTGATGAACATATTTTTCTGAATTATAAAACAATATAAATAGTTACAGTATGTAGAATATGTCTAAATAGGTTTGATCACTGCTGCACTTTATAGAATGGAAATGTACATTTACTGTCTGAAAAGCTGTACTGCAACAAAATTTCATTTTGTTTACAATCTGTTTATTCAATATGACAATAAAAGTGTTTTAAGTCTAAGCAGTCTATTTTCCTCCAAATGAAATGGCAGGATCAGCAGAAAGAAAATTACTTTCAATCAACAAGGTTTATGTACAAAAAAATAAGTAAGTCTCTCAGTGGTCCATGTTTGTTTAAAAGCAGCTTTTTTTGTTTGTTTTGTTGTTTTTTAAGTTACTGACAATGGATGGAGTAGCCAGAAATTTTACTCAAGTACTAGTAGTAATATTTTATCATATTTTTACTCATGTTAGAGTAAAAAGCACAGTGTTGTAAAGCTACTCCAAAAAGTACATTTAAAAAATGTTACAAATTTTGTTACAGATAAATACAAATACAAATAAATGTAATTGATTAAAGTAACTAGTAACTACCCACTTTTAAGATTCCACATGAATATGTTTAAACTTTTTTTGTAAGTAGAAACTGCTAAGAATTCAAAGCAATCGTAAAACAGACAGGTTTTGTGTCTTAAAGCGTGTTTTAGTGCAAAATGTTTGCAAAAACCCACAATTAAAATCAAAAGACCTACTGAGGGTGCTGTTGGAGGCTGCTAAGTGAGTGTCATTATCCACAGTGAATATAGTCCTGCACTGACAGGGGTTAAAAACAGCTTAGATAAAGGGACTTCCATGGTTTTTTTTGGTAACATCTGATGAAACGAACATGAAGCAATATTTTGGTCTATTTAGACAAAATCCTGTGAGGAGGACTGGGCCAGAATCCCAGCATACATTTGTATCACATGTACGTTAGCTTTGGATATTTTAGTACGTTTATTATTATTTAAAATAGCAAAATAAATAGTTTCGGTCATGTTGACACACCTCAAACAGGATATTTTTTTTGTGTGACATAAGCAGGAAGAGGATTGCGGGAAAGGGATGAAGAGGAAAACAAAACAGTAACAGAGAACCGAGACAGAATTTCAAGGAGGAGACACACCTGTCAGGTAAAGTGTTGAATTTAAAACACCTGATATTAAACCAAAAATGATTCAGTCCTTGTTATAGAAAAAGGTTGGCGGGTTAAGACTAGAGGACATGGCTGTAAACACTGATCATAAGCGGTCATAACAGGTTAAGAGATAAAATATCAGGCTAAAACGATATATGATGACATGCATCATATATGCAAAGTGAAAGTATTTGTGCTTCTAGTGAACTGGTTGAGCATAGTGTTGGCATGGATACCTGCACCAGCAGCTTGGTCACATATCTGACAAGTTAGCACTTATTCTGGGTCCTTTTACTTCCTGAAAAGCACAGCACAACCCTAAGACAGAAATCCTCTAAATGATATTACCATTAAATTGCAAACACGGATAGAATGTGCCTCCATTCTAGCACACACTAAACGAAGATTAACAAACATCAGGCTCACAAGGAAAACATCCTTGTTTAAATTTAGTCTTGATAGCTGCTATATACCAAAAACATATGGGAATATAACCTAATAATAATATAACTTGCTGATATATCTTAAATGCAAATATATAGAATCTGAGTTTTGGTTTAAAAATAATTTCTTAATAGATTGATATATTTTCCAACAAAAAATACTCATATATTTGGCAGAGTTTAAATATGAGGTCCTTCAAAGTTCAGTACTGATTCTTTTCTATTTTTATGTTTTCTTTAAAGCCCTATACAGATATTTTCAAACTACATTTTTACTTAAATAGTATGTTTTATGAAAACAATTTTTCTTTATATGAAACTGAAAAAAAAAACATTTTTTTGTACACCTTTTAACTAACAAGTAGTTAAACTTGTTACTTAAAAAGTGTGCAAAAACATATTTTTTTATTTTCATATAAAGCCAAGTTGTTATCATAAAACATACTATTCATGTTGGAAGCTGAAATGGAAAGTTTGTCAAAAATGAAATTGATTTTAGCAAGTTTGAGACAACAAATCATTTTAGGAGTCACAGGTAAATTATATATTATCAAAAATGTGTATAAAATGCAGCATACAATGAAATATGCTTTAACGTAGGGATCATTATACAGTCAAACGTCCTATATTATTTAAATACCTTAAAGATCTTCAGTTTGCATTCTTTTAGATTTTTTTTCTTTCTAAAAATTTGTTTTTGATCAAATGAATACAATAGTGTGAACTTTAAAACGATAATAAAAATGTTTTTGCCATTAACTCTTAGAATGACATCAGGGCTCTGAATGGTCCCCAAAACATTAATATTGAGGGGTAATTGTTTTTGTATAAGTTGCTTGGTTCATTTTCTAACATATTATGACCTAGTTCTGATATATATATATATATATATATATATTTTTTTTTTTTTACAATTTTGACATAACTACTGCTCTAAGTGGGTCACTCTGTCAGCTAAAGGCACATTTTACAGTCTCTATACTAGAGTTAATGATTAATCGATTACTAAATTAGTTGATTATTTCAACAATCAATTAATCACGATTAATCTGATGTTTCAGCTCTAATATAAACAGCTGCAAATTTCCAAAGGGGGCTGAGTAACACTGGCTCTGAGCAAACTATATTGGCAAAGAGTTCAAAAAGGTGTAGCCAGCATGATGACCTTTTTTTTATAACAAAACCTAAAACATAATTCCTTGAGATTTTCCTTTTTTCCATAGAGCTATTTTACATTTCAACTTTAACCCTTTATAGGACACTCAGTGAAATAATTTGAAAGGGGTATGCAAATGTTTAAAAACGTCATCTTGTCCTATAAAGGGTTACGTTTTTGTTTTCTTGGACAGTGGATTAAAAAAAAGTATTTTACAGCTCAAAAAATGAACAAATGTTTCTTTTTTCTAAATAAATGCACATTTTTCCATATTTACAGTTTAAAAAGGTTTTTGTTGCTTACTTAAAAAGCATACCATAAGAACCGTGACATGTGTCATCATGCAGCCTTTCCCTTTACCTGGCCTGTGCATTGAGGCATGGCAGTAACGGTGGCTGCTGCTGTTCATGCAAAGCTCAATGTTGAAACAGGCTGTTGGTATTTCTGGATGACTTCTTCTGTAGAGGAGTTAAGACATACAGTACAAGAAGACACATCCACATTACCTCAGCCAACCTCTGTGTATTTGAAGTATGGAGGACTGGGTGTGGTGATGTCTTTCAGTGTGTTTGCTTTCACCATTGTGAACCATGAACAAAAACTTGATTTCTAATCACACCTTCCTTCCAAAGTTTGCCATCTGTGTCAATATTCAAACAATATTTATATTTATTAAAGTAAATATATATTAACCGGATTTTCATATATTTTTTTATTGCACTGGAACCTTTCCTTATTATATTTTGTCACCTGAAAATGTGGAGCTTCAAACTTTTGGGGGAATTTTATGCAACACACGGACATAAGATATTGCCTAATTTGGAAGGGAGACATTTTTTTTTTTTTTTTTTTTCGGAAATAGAAATCAAAAACAATTGTGCTTTCATATTTACCCTCCTTACTCTAAAAACTCCATATAAAATAAAATTAACCTTTTTTTTCTAGAAGATACCAAATAAAAAAAGACGTCTCAGTGTAAATCTGGCTGTTCTGTTACCAAGCAATATAGCGAACAGCAAAGAGAAAGTTGTAAAAGCTTAAAGCAGGATTAGGTAATAAAATAATAGCTTAAAGCATTGAGAATCTCACAGAGAACTGTTCAGACCATCATGCAAACATGAAAAGAATACAAAAAAAACTGCAAACCAATGGAGATAAGGATGGTAATGCTCAGAGAAAAAGGACTGAATTTAACCTGGTCCTCAGGACCTACTGTCCTGCATTGT